TTAGCATTGTGGCCAACGCTGCATCAAATGCGGAGCTTTCCCTTTAAGGCGCTTATAATCTAAAACATACAAATAACCATATGCAGCAAAAAAAGCTAGAGATCAGAGTAAAAGGAAGCATTCACAAAAATGTACAAATTCAGCATGCCAGAACTTTTCAGTTGAGCAATATGATCCCCAGTGAAATTCTTTCCAAATGATGTATCGTGTGCCGAGTTATAAGTGATTATCTTCAATTTTCTTAGAAATGAGTAATGAGATATCTCTTAAGACCCATGCTTTTGTATATGCATCAAACACTAAAGTTGGCGTGGTCACTGATAGCTGCCATTTAAGGAGAAAACGTATTGTCTTAGAGCAGACATATCCAGGCCTTTTTCTCCCAGGTTGGTAATAAGAAGCCTTTTTTCCAGGCTACAGTGAACAACAAACATTGTGACTCTAAAGATGGAAATAGCGGAATGCCGAAAAATATTGCATCCAAATATTGGCTACCGCGCCGCAACCCCTTTGGGGGGGAAAGGCTGCAGAACTGACACCATCTGTGTCATCTAGCATCCATCAAAATCTTATGCCTGTATTTCCTAATGCCTACAAAAGGAATGTGCTCCAAGGATTCAGAAGTCTTTTTGAGACCTCTCCCTATCTCCCACTTCATCTCTTCAGTTTTTTTCCCTTGCCCAGGCTGGCTATTGTGACTATTCCAGTCAATTTCCTGGAGGTCTTTTCTAGCCCCTTTCACCCTATTTAATCCTACAAGTTTCCTAAGAAGCCTGTTTACTTGTAGGCTCCCCCACTAGACGGAGAGCCTTGACAAAAGAGACTGCGTCTTAACTCCTTTCAGTACCCACAGCACCTAACCTGGAGTCTGCCAGGCAGTGGGTCATCTTAAGACTCCTTCCGGGTCACAGTGCCCCCATCAAGCAAAAACCATCTCTTCTCTTAGGGCGCTTCCCTCTGAGCCCATCTTGGTACCCTACATAAGAATTTGCGTACTAACTGAGCCCATTCTAAAGAATTCTCCAAACTGTTCAAGTGAGCACATAGTAATAACCTTTCCAAAGTTTCATGAAATCACCTGAGTCTCTCTGCCCGTAGCAGAACTATTAACTGCTTCAAAGTAATTGGGCAGCCCATCACAGCTGCTACTTTTCGAGCTCTTAAACAAACCAAGTACCAAGTTACTTAATGCAAGAAACTGTGTGTGTGTGTGCGTGCCTTGTATTTTAAATTTTATGTTGTTTCATCTATTTTGAAAAACTCCAAGTCACTTTTGACTATTCCAGGCTGCCTTTTACCGATGCCGGCATTTGGCCTTCTGGATTGGTTCTTGCACTTTCCAGGGCCCTCGAAGGCAAGAATTCCTCAATCTTTGGGGAGTTGCAACACTACCACGGTTTGTTTGATTTTCTCCTTCCCTTCCGTCCCCTTTACCACCAACCCCCACAAAAGTGGTGTATGGCATTCATAAAGTGAATTACACTTGATTTTTGTTTAGAGGAATTTTTTTTCAGACTTCTGTAACATTCCCTTGAGACAATTGAAAACATCATTGTCTGATTACTAGCTCACTTTCCTTGCCTAAAATTGTATCCATTCTTGATTGCGCCTGTGGGTAGGTTAAGCAAAACAAAATAAACATCTAGACTTATGAGCTCATTGGCTTTTTTTCTGAATTTTTCTAAATTAAATAAGGGCAAAAGAGCTACGCTGAAAGTCAGTTATATGGATTTTTCTGCCAAATGCTAACTCTGTGTGCCTGGTTTCCATCTGTGGTGCTTTCCAAGTTACAAATCCTTTATTTAAAAGAGAGAGAGAAAGCAAGAGAGTGGGGTATGAAAAGATCGATGGATTTGGGGGACAAGCAATTTAGAATTGCTATCCCGTGCTTTTGAACACTCTAAAAGAAACGAGAACATGAGATTGTAAGGCTTTAGATCAGCTTTGTAGAAGTATAGTATAGTCCTTCAGCACCAATGATTTATTTTTTAGGCTGGCTGATTCCAAATGCCATTTAGTCTCATCCATATTAGCATAAGAAATGTACCTTATCCACTCTAACCCAATTCTGCTAATGGCCGAAGTTAGCAGTCAATTCCAAATGCTCCCCTTAAGTGAGACAGGACATTCTTGAGGATTTCTTCTTACTGCAACCAAATCTCATTTTATCTGGGACAAAGAATGCTTAATGCAGTTAAGACAGTCGAGCCGGCAAACAGAACGTGGCTTAAAATATAGATTGGGGTGGGGGGGGGGAAGGCCAGCGATCTTCATGTTGGTTAAAGTACCAAATAATTTGCAGCTCTCTTTCAATTTCCAACCACTGATCGACAAGAAGCAAATGACACATTTATTCACTTTGAAATTATGCACTTGCCAGTGTACTGAGTGTGCCATTATCCTCTCTTCTCTCAAAAATTGATGAGCTCTTTCCATACATGGACATAGGGGATTTTCACCATGTTTTCCGTATGTATCTACAGGGACCACATTCGCCCGACGGAAATTCAAAACACATGATTTCACGCCAGGACAAAGTGTTAGAAATGTTCCCAGCTCCAGAAATGCCAGGCTATATGGTAGTGATATGGGGTAGAACCAGCATTGAAAGTTGGCTTTGCTCCAGCCCGCCTCAAAAGAGTGCTAGCCAAGTAGAAGGTGTTCAATCCTGCATCTGCTTGTGAAATAGACACAAAGTAGAGAGTGTTGGCTTGATATGGGCAAAGCCCCCCCCACACACACACACACCTGGAAAGTGATTTTTTTCCCCTCTAGGGTTTGGAAAATGCTGGAGGAAAAATGAAAATCTCGACTCCAACTCCCAGTTCTGTGCAGTATGGCCTCCCCTACTTAGGCGGGCAGAAAGGGAGATTCGAAGGGGAGAGAGAGGGAGGGCGGGCGGGCGGGAGGGAACCCAGGCCAAATCTCCTCGTACACAGTTTGTAGGCCCTCCCAGGACTTTTCTACAGATACTGCAAAGAGGCAGAAGGCCAGCGAGCTGGGGGTGGGGGATGGGGAAGCTTGCGTGTTGGACTGTGCAGAACGGGGTGGTTCAATGACTATCTGTGCAGTGTCCCTATGGTCCTTTTCTTCTTTGAAACACAACCTCTACTCCCAGGCTTAAAATCAGCAAATGTGGCCCCAACCCTAACCCTAGACCCCATTCATCTTGGAAGGGTGGGGAGGGGGTCGGCGGGTGGGGTGGAAGGTTCAAGCCTGCGCTGATCAATTTTTACATTATCCACAAAAGCAGGGTCTCGGGCCTCGGCAATCTAATTACCATGGCACTTGGAGGGGAGAGAGATTCGCCTGTTGTTCCAGTCCCGTGGAACTGATTCATAGGTTGCCCCTTAGAGCGCCCGCACACGCCCACGTGGTACGTTATTAACACTCGGCGGTGGAAGAGGTAGTTCTCCCCTCCCTCAGCGCGAATTCCTGCAAAGCAATATTTTAACATAGGCACAAATGCGTTTCAGTCACCAAAAAGGGTGACCAATTACCTTTGCAACTAAACAGCAGGCTCGCTCGGCTCTTTTTATCCACCTAAAGAAAAGGCTGAGGGCGCGCTGGCTGCCTAGGTAACCTTCTGCTAGTGAACGCTCGCTCCCTGGCAGCGCCCACAGGGCGCGCATAGCATTCACAACTTGGTCCAACCATCAGGTCCGCCTCGCTAACTTGTTGAGAACCACCAGCCAAGTTTTGGCTAGGGTTCCGTGTTCCCCCCCTCCGCCACCCCCGCCGCACTCCCCAAACCCCCCTCAGGACCCTCACAGGCTCGGAGATGCGTGCCCCGCAGGACGCGGGGGAGGGGGGGGGGATTGGGAAGAGAATCCGGGAGGCGGCAGCGGCGGCCACCAACGGCTCTGGGTTTTGCGAATTGCAACCGGCCGTTTCTTCCCGAGCGCACCTCGGCAAAATGAACCTGTTTGAAAGCGACTCTTCGGCCCGGGTTGTCAGGGTAGCCGCTAGTTCTAATTGGATTCTAAGGCAGGCTTTTAGGAGTCCAGCCGCGGGACAGTCAATCACGCGAGGCCATTAATATTCATCTGTTGACAGCGGCGGCCCTCGGCTAAGGTTAAAATATGCCTGTGCTGCACGATCGGATGGTGCAGAACAAAAGGCAGGCGTTGCAAAAGTTTCCTCCACCTAAAATCATCTTCCCTTTAGGGGTCCAGTCTGGCGCAAAGGCAGACGAATTGCGAATGGGGAGGAGTTCAATCATCTTTGCACTCCAGTTCCTGGAGCCGGCCGCACGGGTTTTGAAGCGATTTGGCCAACCTAGAAAAGGGTCGCGGTTTTGCAGGCAGAGGTTCGTGCCTCGTCGTTGGGGGGGGGGGGGGGGAGGGGAGGGAACCCTCCGACTCAAAAGTTTCCCTCCGCGCGTCTTTACCTGCCGCTACGGTTTCGGAGATCGGTCCTCAACTTTGCCTTCACTTGGGCCCGCGAACCTCGGGGAAGGCAGGCTGCGGAAAGGAGGGCGTGAGGGGTGCAGATTGCGCGCGCGTGTGTGTGTGTGTTTGTGTGCGCGCGCGGAGGAGTAGAGCCGGAGCCGCGGTCCAGCGGCAGCTGAAATTCTAGCACGTACGTGCGAACGACTGGAGCAAATTCCCGCGGCACCAGCTCGGAGACAAGGCGCCGCTTTGCCGAGACCAAGGGAACCAGCTCCCACCTTCCCGCCCTCCCTACCACCCCCAAAATGGGAGCTCGCGGGAAGTCCATCCCCGCGGTTTCTCCCACGCACACCTTCCCTGGCAGCAGAGAGAGCCGGGAGGTTGTGGATACAGGGCCCCCCCCTCCCCGCCACCACCACACGAGCCCCCTCCTCCCCTGGTCACTAGACCTGGCCGTGCCGCGGGCACACCGTCCACTCCCAGGCGCCTGGCCACAGGGCTCACGATCTCGGCGCCACCGGGGCCAGGGCGCCCGGGGAGAGGGACGGCCACCACGCGCCTAGGGGGCTCCCGGCTGCGCGCCGGCCGGCGTGAGGGGCTCCTGCTCACCTGGCACAGGGGTTTCGGGCACCCACTTGAGTCCGGGTTGCAGCCTCTGGAAGAAGGAGCGGACCTGGTGACAGGTGGCGTCCGGCGGCGGCGGCGGGGGCTGCGCCTGTCCCGGGTAGTCCAAGCTGAGCAGCATCGCCACCAGCAAGCACGCGGTGCGCACGATCCCTGCCATCCTGCTAGGCGGGCGGCGAGGAGAGCGCGGGAGAGTGGCAGCGGGGCCGAGAGCGATCGCAGGACACGGCAAGCCTGCCACGGGGTCCTGCGGAGCGGGAGAAACGTGCAGCCACGCAGCCGCTGCAAAAGTTTCCTCGCAGCTACCTGGACGCCGGACGAGGGCGGGAAGGGCTCGGCGGCTTGGGGCGGGGCGGGGCCGAGCGCGGCGGGGCGGGGCGAGGACGGACGGGGCGGGGCCAAGCGCGGCGCCGCGCGCGCGGCCAGGGGGAGGCGGCGATGCACGGCGGGGCTGCGGGGGGCTGCCTGCTGCTGGCTCGCAGGGGAGGGAGGTGGGGGGTGGGGGACGGCTCGGGCGCGGGAAGCGGCCCGGGTGGCGCAAAAGGGGGACGTGAAGCGCGTGCGGGGTTCCTGGCTGCCCTGCCCTGCTGCCCGCTCGCCGCCGCCCCGCACAGGGCGCTCTGGCAGAACTACTGCAGAGGGGCTGCGGGCTCGGCCGCGCTGATTGGCTTCCCAGCAGCCGTCCCCGCTGACTGGCTCCGGGAGAAGTTCCCCGGCCTCTCTCCTTCCCGCCGCTCATTGGCCTGCAGCCGGGAGGGCTTTTCCCTTTCGGATTTTTGCAATCTCTCCCTCCAGCCTCGGGGTGCGTGGCGGTGGTGGTGGTGATGGTGTGTGTATGGTGGGGGGATTTGAGCGCGCTGGCTTTGGTGCCCCTCCGGGCTTCGCCCCAGGCCTCCTGCCCAAGGTTCACATTATCCAACCCCGGCCTCAGGTCTCCCCCCACCACCACCTCCGCACCAAATCGGCCTCCGGCTGCTCTAGGGAGAAGCTTCTCCAGAAACGTTTCCCACCATCAGCCCCCACCCCACCCCCCAACGCCGCTGGGGCCAGGTTCGCAAACCCAGCTCACAAAGAATCGCCCGAGGTGGGGGGGGCGGGGAGCAGAACGGAGGCGGCTAGGGACCTCTGGGGACAGTCTGATCTTTCCCAAGGTGCCTTAAAAAAGTGTGAAAGCCCTCCACCCCCCACCACCACCCCAAGAGCTGATTCGGTTTAATCCAAAAGAACCGCACAAAGTCAGAGAAAGCACCTAGCTCAGGACGTGGAAAGAATCTATCTCCCGCCAGACTCTGGCGGTGGTCGTTCGTGGAGCAAAGCTAAACTAGTGATACCGAAATATTCCGGCGCGGGGAGCCAGGCTAATCATTGGAAAACCGTTTTACACAGCAAACGCACTGAGCCAGAATCTTCCCGTTTCATAGATGGAATCGACGGCTGTTTGAAAGGTCTCCTAGACCCACATCCCCACCTATCTGCTTAAATTTCACCCTTCGAAATGCAATTCTTTGCCAATCCAACACCTCTCCGAGGAGGAATGCCTTTAGTCGGTGCCTCGATGCTCCTACCAAGGACTCTAACTCACGCGGTGCTTTTGTGATTACACACAGCTGAGCACAGTGCCTGGCACAGAGTAGGAACTCAGAAACTATTTGAATAATTCAAAGATTTAACACTTCAAGGTGAATCCATTTATCGTCTGCTTGTGACTTTTCAGATCTGGGTGAGAGGAGGTTGTGTTAGGCAAGGAATTTCTACACCAGGAATTCTCTAGGAAGTGCTAGGTTGCGGGCCAAGTGGGCGGGAAGGGCGAAAAGAGACGCTCCACGCATTCGGTGAGAAAGATATGCATGCCCACTATGTGCCAGACTCGGGTGGGATGCAAACAGGACCACGGAGATGCGGGGGATTAACCAGCACCGGGTACCTGGCCTCAAAGAGCTACCAGTCTCCTGGGAGAGCAGCCCAACTCTCTTTGTTCAAGGTAGCTTGTGGTGAGTTGTGAAGAGACAGAAGCCAAGTTCTCAGTAGTGAGCAGGATGAGACAGAGAAACTTTGCAAGAGAGATGATATCCCGAAACTCAGGTTTGAGACACCACGACGAAGAACTGAAGTGAGGAAAGGTGGCGGTGTGGGGGGGGGGAGGGAGGGCGCCAAAGAAAAAGAAGCCCTGGGAACAAAGGAGAACCGAAGAAAGAGCCTCTCGTCTGGTCTGGTTGGAGGGTGGGCGGTACAAGTAATGATTTCAGTCTGGGTCGCTCCTGTTGCTAAAGCAAGCAGAGGTAAGCCAGGGCCAGATTAGCAGGGTCCCCAAGGCACTTGAAGGGGCCTGGGGAATCACTTAAGGAAATTTAAAGCAGAGGGACAGCAGGATCACATTTGCCTTAGAAAAAGCTCTCTCCAGCAACATGGTGGAAAGTGGCTTGGACAATGAGGATGGCAAGCAAGTTAAGAGGCAGGCGGGTGAAAATCTGCCAGACAAGAAATGAACAAAACTGGGACAGGCGATTTCCAAGGCGGTGGGGCGGGGGAGTTTGGGGACTGACCTCGGAGATGGAAATTCAACGGGGCATAGTGATTTAGGGGAGGAGGAGAGGGGGAAGGAGTCAAGGATGGAGGGCTCATTTTTTTTCAACAAACATTTGAGTGCTGTCTATGTATCTGGCATTCTTCTCCGACTTCATAATTTTGCCTGGGGCTAGGCCTGCGCCTTGCATTGAACATTTGACAAATGACATATCCACTTTAAAAGAAACACCAATTAAGAGTCATAATTTGGCTGGTGAGTTTGATATGTTCCACCTGTGGAACCCTGTGGCCAAAGGGCAGAGTGGAAGGCAAGCATTGATTGAATTTCTTGACCTCGCCAAGGAAGACATGACCTCCCATAAATTCATGATCTTCCAGAGCTCAGGCAACTAACTACAAAGGCAACGGTTGTTTCCAACTCCTGGGAATTATGGAGCACTTTGGAAAAGAGAAACAGCCACGGTTTTTGCATAAAGCATTTTTAGATCGGCTACACTTCTCAGGGCTGCTAGCAATGCTTTGCCAAAGGGAAGTGTGCAAAGCCCTGGTGGAATATAGGGGGGGCATGCAATTTGGGGGGGATTTGATTTTATGAAATCATCCCTTTGAATGTGGAGTAAATATATACGTGTGCATGTGACCCCTGATTTGGCTAGAACAAAGCTAAATGGACGGTGCTATGCTGAGTGGATTTCAATAGAGGTGTGAACTGACAGACTGCAAAAGAGTTCATTGTGTTGGAAACTTGGGGATATAGCACAAGGCAAGGGGGGCGTGCGGGGGGTGGGGGAATACTAAAGGAACGGTTAGGATTGGGGCTAAGTTGTAGGCAAGTTGGCCCCGAAGTTTTGTGAATTGTTTCTTTGGCCTGAAAGCTTGGTCTCCTGCTCGGAGCAGCTACTTCAAGGCTGGAAGCCGAGCCTAAGTTGGAATTTAATAAAAGATGGTAAGCTTAAGGAGAGATTCAGGACCAGAGAGACAGTAAAGCGGCTTAGGTGCTTGCCTCGCACACAGCCAGCCTGGTTTTGAGCCCTGGTACCACCTAGGGTTCTCAGGGCAGCATCAGGAGTGATCCCTGAGCACAGCATCTGTGGTCCCAAAACAACAAAAAAGGAGTGATTCCCATTTTTGCTTTGTGTGTTGGGATTTTTGCTAATGGTTGGGGGAATGGGGTGCACACCCCGCCATGCTCAGGGGGGTATTCCTGCCTCTGTGCTCAGGAGTGACCTCTAGTGGTGCTTTGTGGGCCATTTATGGTACAGGGGATCAAAACCGGGTCAAGCACGCAAGGCAAAGCACCTTACTTCTTAATACTATCTGGACCACAGCAATGCCAGAGTGGTGTAAGCCCCTAAAGACACCTTTTATGTCACACCCGCGATGACTTGAAACGTGCAATGCCGGGCACTGGAACAGACCAGCCAGGCACATGCAATTTTTCACTGAAAATCCAATGATTTGATCAAAGTATAAAATCGATTACATTAATAGACTCTCCTCTGCCCAGACAGATGATTAGGAATGAGGACTGTTTCATTTCTCTTCGCCTTAAAACCTCTGGCTTACCTTTTAAGGCGCCCTTCCTTCAGTGAGACAAGTCCCTCAGTGCCTCATCCTTCCTCTTCAACTAGAACAGACAAAGAGAAACAATCCATCTAAGAAACATAAAAGGCCTGACCCCGGGTTCACTTTCCACAGTTCCTGGTTCTGTGCTGAGAGGCCCTTGGGCTAACAGTGTTGGGCCCTCCTCTTCCTATTTGGACCTCGGAGGAGACCCACCTAGCCTAGCAGGCCCTGAAGAACTTTGCTTCACCTTTCATTCCTAGGCTCCAGTTTGCAAGAATTCGAGAATTCCCAGCTGTAACCAGCCGCTATTATCTTGCTAGAGCTGTGTGTGGGGGGGGGGGGGGTTGGCGGGAAGGGAAATGGGGAGAGTCTGGTTCCATAGCTCCAAAAGCAGCATAAATCAAGGTTTCTGGGAGAGGGTTAAGAAAGGGTGTTCAACAGCTGCCGCGGCAGGAGGGAGCCCTGCAATGCCGCGCACATGGCCACACACGCACACAATGCACACAAAATGGTTTGGCTTGGGCCCATTTCCCTTTGTCCAACCCCCCCCAGGTGATGCACCCCTCTCCTCAGCCCCCCCACCTCCAGCCCCAAGTTCAGAGTCTCTTCTCCCTTTGACCCCTTCCTCAAGACCCGCTTGCAGAGAGGCAAGCTGAAAAACACTGTCGCTTCCCAGGGTCTACGGTTGATAGGCTATAATGGAGCTGCCCACCCAGGGGTACGAGTATTTTTTAACAGGGATCAAAGCTTTAAACCAAAGGAACAGAGCCCTACAAACTGTGGAATTCCAGGCATTTGCCAGTGGGAAGGGAGTGTTTAAACTGAGGGGCAATGAGGCCTTTTTTGGTGCACCTGAAATCACATCATGTAGACAGTTGCTTATATGTTCGACTGGTGCAGTGCACCATCAACACCTCCCTAGCCACAGCTCTGCACGCTGTGGCACACAGCCACTTTGTCTCCCCTCTCCTGCAGTGTATGACTCCTTTGTGGGGCAGCGGGGAGGGGAGGCGCCAGGCACACTGATCCCAATTCCCCCAAATGTATAAGCTCTGATCAGAGAATGAATTATGGTCCTCTGGGAAAGAGTGTTCATTCATTCATCCCAGCCAGCAGGCCCCCGCGCAATGTAAATGGTAACTTTGTAAGTTGAAAGACTTAAAGCCATTTTGAAAATTGCCTAATAATCCCAGGCAGAATTGGGCGCCGTGTGTATGGAAAATTAATAGGCCCGGA